CTGGTGAACGTGTAATAGCTGTCTAACGGCAGCTGCCGGGTCGTACGTCTATCCTGCACTGTGCGAGTCTCTTGGGATGCTATCGCACTATCTACCCTTGAGCGGATGGCACTACCCCCATGGCACCAGGGCTCGACGCTGTCTCTAGATGCTGGCAACAGATTTTTTCATCTGCAGGTTGAGCTAATGTTTGCAAACCCTCCCCACCTTTCCCAGGGGGGAAGAGGAGCTCTTTGCTCCCTTTAAGGTGCTCCGGCTCCCTCAAGCAGCTGCAAAGTCTGAGGGAAACATTTGGGAGGGTCTGTGAGTCCCCGTGCTTAGTACGCCCCAGTTCAGCCCCCCAAAAATGGGTGTGAATGGGGAGCAGGGCAGGTCTGGCCGGACGGCAGATGTTGCACGACGCGTCCAAGAGCCCTCGTGTCTGCAGCTGGAATAAATGGCTGAGCAGTGGAGCGGTGCCAGCCCCCCTCCCGCTGCGCTCGGGGAGCGGTTTTACGAGCCCGGGGAGGAAGCGCTCGTTAAAGTCTGGGATTTGAGACGATCCTTAGCGGCCAAGCCGGCAGTGTTGTGTAACGTGACGTAAGGTGCTGTGAGCCAGGGCGCTCTCTGCCTCAATATTTCCGAAACGCCGGAGCGCGGTTGTGTCCAGCCGATAAGGGAGCGGGAGGAAGAAACCCAGCGGGAAAAGCAGCTTTAAATGGTTTTTTTAAGGAAGCACATGCGCCTCGGTGGGTGGTGATCAGTGGCTCTCAGTTGATGGGGCTGCTTCCACCCATAACCACTGTGCTGTGCCAGGAGACCCATGGATGGCTGTTTGTCTCGGCCACGAAAGGTCTTCCAGTGTCAACAGCTTCCAGTTGGTCCACGGAGCCCTGAAACGGGGTTAATAGTGGCGTTGAGAGGCTTGGGCTGCTCCAAAATGGGGATGTTTTGGGGGTTTTGCAGGGAAGAGGGGAGACGGGGATGTGGTAGGGCAGGTGATGTGGGGCAGCAGGCAGGGCCACGCCAGGATTTGGCTGGAGGGCAGAGAGTGTGATGCTTGCTGCCCTGAGGACAGCACGCCTGCACCTCTAACTGCTGTGGCTCCGCTCCAAAAAGAAGACAAAAGATACCTGCCTTCCTACCCGCTCGCTGGCAGGAGGAGGGATGCGGGTGCTCTCTGCTTGTGATGGTTAAGGGGGTCCCAGCCGCGGCGGAGGAGCGCATGTCATTGCAGAGGTGCAGCCCAGGCGGGTGGGACATGGGGGCTTGCTGGGACCCCACTCATGCCCTCTGCTCACCCGGCTGCCCTGTGCAGAGCTCCTGCCTTTGCTGCTTGTCCTGGCAAACCTGGCTCAAAGCACAGTTAGTTTTGCTCGGGTGGCAGCCGGGGAAGGTGATGGGCAGGGCTGGCAGGCAGGTCACCCGCCCCGGCAGCATCCATGTGCAGCAGGGATGGGGCAGCGCTTGCTCCTGCCGAATTTTGCATGGGGAGGTGATGCTTGAAACATGCGGTCGGTCCATGGGAGAGGGTGGAGGGTGCCTGGCATGGCACGAGTAACCCCCTCAGCCTCAGCGCTGCTGCCAGCTCCTCGGGCTGGCTGCTTTTGTGCAAGGTAATCCCCTAAAATAAGAAATTCCACAAGGTCCCATCACTGCACTGCCCGATGGCTGATTGCAACTGATGGCGCCTCTTCCCAGCTTTCTTTTTTTGACTTGCAAATTGTAGACATACAAAATTAAGCTTTACGTGCAGAAAGGAGGCATCCCGGGGCAGGACCCTGGTTTACCATGGGCTGGACCCCTCGTTGCTGCAGGCTGGGTGCTGCCGTGCACCCTCACTGCATAGGGACATAGTGATTCTCAGCAAAAGCCAGTCCCTGCCCTGGAGACCGGACAGTTGAAATAGCAAACGAGGGGAGACAGCAGGAACCGAGGTGCAAACCAGTGGCCCCAAGCCTTGGGGCAGAGCTTGGCTGTGCTGGTGTGTTCAGGGTTTGCCGTCCCCCCTCCCCGGGGCGGTGGGCGCTGCCGGTCCCGCCTGACGGAGCTGCTCTGCTCTTGCCCTTGTAGTTGGCGACAAGGTGCCAGCGGACATCCGGATCATCGAAATCCGGTCCACCACCCTGCGGGTCGACCAGTCCATCCTCACAGGTGCGTGCAGGCGTGGTGGGGTGGAGGTGGCTGCTGAAGGCAGAGCTTTCCCTCTGCTGTCTGCCCCAAGCCAAATTTTGGGGCTGACACGGGGCTAAGTGCTTTGCCGGGGTGGGAAATGGGTGGGAGAAGGAGATTGAGAACCTGGGGAGGTCCCAGCATCATCTAAAAGTCATGGCATAGGTGAGATGTGCCCAGTGCTTGGGCATCCCTCCTGCAAAATGCAAAGCATGGGGCTTTCCTGTGCAACACGTGGGGTTTCATGAGGGGCTCTCAGTCCCTGCCCATGCTCCCCCCGTGCAGCCGTCGCATGATCACCGCTGGTGCACGAGGCCTCGCAACTTCAGGGAGAGGTGACAATATTTGGGGCTTTTTTTAAGCACTGGAAAAACCCTTAAAGCTGATAATCTATGATATTTCAAAAATTCTCTTTCTCTGCTGTCAGGGAAGGCTGGTGAATGATCAGCTGACAAAAAGGGCTTCCAGTATTTCAGCTCTCGTGCATGATTTTGTAAAGGCATCGAGTTAGGAGATGGCAGCAGGGAAGGAAAAGCAATCAGAAAAAATGTTAAAAACACAGGGAAAGGAGCCCAGTCTCCTTGAAAAGTGGCTTTGTGTTAACTTAGCTCTCCAAGGGCAAAAGGAGATGCAGCAAAAGGGCAAATCTGCAAAGAACAAAACATAAACCTTCAGCAGAAGGGCTTCGGCCACCTTTCCTGTTGTGCTGCCCTACGAACCCCATCTGACCGTGCAAACCTGTGCTGCAAGCCAGCGGGCTCCCCGGAGTGGGGATTTGGCTCCATCCCGTTGGGCTGTACGGAAGCCTGTGGCCGCTAGCGATCCGCACAGGTCCTTTTCCTGCAGCCCTCATCTTCAGAGCACCTTGGCCCAGTTCTGACATCCCCATGGTGGATGTTTTGATGGTTTTGTGGCAAAGTGCTGCTTTAGAAAGCCGCGGGGGTTGTGATGCAGGCTCGTAACAGCGTTGAGCAGAGGCTGGAGAGGAAACACGGGTGGTTCATCTTCCCCCCTCTTGTCTTGGCAGGGGAGTCTGTGTCGGTGATCAAACATGCTGACCCCATCCCCGACCCCCGGGCTGTCAACCAGGACAAGAAGAACATGCTTTTCTCCGTAAGTCCCTTATGCCTGTCCCCACCTCTCCTGTGGTTTTCCAAAGAGTCGCCAAGTGAAGAGGCTGATGGACACAGGAGATCTCTGAGCAGTGCGGAAGGTCTGATGCATGAGAAAGACCTGAATCCATAAAAAGAGCCCCAAATCCATAAAAATGAGGACCTGCTTCCATGGGATTTCATTTGGGCTGTGGCACATGACGCCCTTAAATGCCTTGGGTAATCTCAGCAGGTTTTTTGTCAAGTAGGATGCATTATGGACGGGGAGAAAGTTTGTGGTTGAGCCTGGAGGTATTGCAAATTTGGGTTTCCTCCTTGCTCATGCTCCTCTTGGGCAGAAGCCAAGTCCTTGAGGGGCAAGAGAGCTCTCAGGAGGGTCTCCTGCTGCTGTAGAGTGGGTTTATATAAAATCCCAGGATGTCTCATTTTCCCCTTAACCAAGATCTCTTGTTCTCCTTTCACAACAAGCAACCCATTTCCCGGCTCAGGCCAAGAGGTTTCATGCCCACATATCCACTCTGGTCCCTTTCTTCCCTCTCAGGGCACCAACATCGCAGCTGGGAAGGCCGTAGGGGTTGTCATTGCAACAGGGGTGTACACCGAGATTGGGAAGATCCGAAACCAGATGGTGGAGACAGAGCCCGAGAAGACCCCCTTGCAGCAGAAGCTGGACGAGTTCAGCCAGCAGCTCTCCAAAGTGATTTTCCTAGTGTGCATCGCCGTCTGGGTCATCAATGTCAGCCACTTCAGCGACCCTGTCCACGGGGGCTCCTGGTTTCGGGGGGCCATCTACTATTTCAAGATTTCGGTGGCACTGGCGGTGGCTGCCATTCCCGAGGGCCTCCCGGCCGTCATCACCACCTGCCTGGCGCTGGGCACGCGCCGCATGGCCAAGAAGAATGCCATCGTCCGGAGCCTGCCCTCGGTGGAAACCCTGGGCTGCACCTCCGTCATCTGCTCTGACAAGACCGGCACACTCACCACCAACCAGATGTCCGTCTGCCGGGTGAGTGCCGGGGGTGTTTTGGGGGGCATAGGGGGTGGTGCTCTGTAAGCCTCTGAGCACTCTGCACCGCTCCATCCCCATCCTGGGGTGACGGGCTTTGCTGTTCTCACCAGACTTGTTTCATATTAGGAATTTGAAGGTGGGCGTGGAAGGTGGTTTATAGGAAGCCTTGAGCTTCCTCTCTGCCTGACCAGGGTCAATGTTTATGGCTTCTCTTGGCATGGTTGTAATTAGAAAACTCACTTTAACGAGCACACCAGTTTGGAGGTGCTGTGTTGCAGGCTTATTTCAGGGCGCCCTCTCCAGAGAGCATTTCTTCCTGCTGGGATGTGGCGTTGAGATAGAGCTTCTGGAGAAGCCAATGCAATCAGCCTGCTCTGCTCTTTTGCCTGTTTTCCCCCTGTTTGTAACCAAACCAGCGAGAAATCCTGGACCATGCAAAATTACAAAGCCTGGCCCTGTGAGGCCAAAACCTGGAGGGTCAGTGCAACGCATGGGTCCAGCTGGCCATGGTGAACTCGTGCAGAAATCCAGGGGTTAAGAGAAGATGCCCGTGACCTGGTGAAACGGTGCTTCGGTTACCCGTCCTCACCTGGCGGAAGGTCTGCCATCCGCAGTGGTGTGCAGCTGGGCTCAGACCGAAAAGCACTTCTGACGGAGGGAGCCCTGGGGTGGTTTGGCAAAGAGGTCGAAGCCTCCTGGTTTACCAAAGAGCTTTGCTCCCGCGTGCCTGACCGTACGGGGAGGTGACTTGTTAGGAACGCCTGGACCATCCGAGTACTTCTCAGTTTCCCCATTAATCCTCAAGTCTCAGGAAAGCTTTCTTTCATGGCCTTGGCGCGTCGGTTTTATAGGAGAACCTTGGAAAATGTGTTGCTGTGGGGAAAAATGGACCTGGCCACCGTCCCTCCTCTCTGACACTTGGGTAGCGTGGTGGGAAGCCGTGACCGTGCTGCAAGCTGGCCACGGGCTTTGGCCACTGGTTTGCTTGGCACAAACTACAGATGACTGGAAACATCTGATATTTCTGCCCTGTAAATGATTTAAAACAAGACATCGCTGGAATGAGGCAGTGACCAAACTGCCCACATCTTCCATGAGGAGAAGGTTCTCACCAGCCCTTCCCAAAAAGCAGCCCAGGGGACACCAGTCCTGCCCCGGGGCTGTGGGGATGTGGCCGGCTCGTGTTGCGTTTGCCATCCCTCAGGTTTCTGGTGCTGAGCCCATGGTGATGGTGCGGGTGGGTGCCAGAAATGCAGCTCTGCTGGGATGGGGCAATGCCTCCTGCTTATCAGCTGGGCATTCCCAGGCACGTGCTCACACCGCTTTCATGTTAATACCAGGGGTTATTTTTATGGGTTGATTTTCATGCCAGGACAATGGCGAATTTGTTCCTACCTCCTCAATTTTTGGGTTTTCATTTTCGGGCTGTTGGGACCAAGTGGCCAAAGCACATCCACTCTGGTGGGCTGCAGCAGTGTGGAGGTCAGAGCGGTGCCTGCCGCCCCTGGCCGACCATGGGACACTGCTGATTTTCTGCCCCCAGGATGCAGGGAAGTGAGTAAAGGGTGACCCCCAGCATTTGGGGTCTCTTTAGCTCTGCAGACTGCAGAAGGAGAGGTAGGACGTGATCCTGTCTTCCCCAAACCACTTCCTACTGGAGGATCTGCTCCTTGAACTAGGGCAGAAGTGCCACCATCTCCCCCGATGTGTGGTGCGGTTGGGAGAAGCAGGATTAGTGATCTGAGACAGGGAGAGGGCAGGAGGGTGACGGAGTGGGGCAGCAGCACTCATGAGGTTTTTAGCTTCAATCAGCCCTAAATTGGTCCAAGTTAAAATTTGCAAAGCAGCACATTTGGGGAAAAAAAAAAATCAATTCAAAATTCCATGTATCCTCCACCCCGTCTCCCCGCAACCCCCTTCTGATATCCGTGTTATTCACTTGGCTGAATCCTGACTCCCAGGGCGTGATACCGAGAGCCAGGCTGGCCTCAGGACACACAGACACGGCTGTCAATGTTTAACGGACAGGGATTCCCGCGTTGACGCAGGCAGTACGGAGGCTGCCGTCGGCTCTGCCAAGCGGCGGGTGGGTAAATATTTGCGCTGGGCGGCTGTTGGCGTGTCCTGGACGTGTTCCTGCATGGAGCAGCCGGCTCAGCTACAGCGGTGCAAAAGTCAACGAAAGCCTATCGATAACCTGGAGAAATGTGTTAATTGAGTGAGATTTAATTGACGCAGACATTTAATTTGGGTGAGCGCAGCTGTTTGGCCACAGGGTATGCTGCTGAGCAGTGCTTGCCCTTTACATCTCGCTGCCGGCATCAGGTCTGGAGAGGTGTAAAGTGACTCTTGAAAGGCTTCGAGTCTGTTTTAAAACCCTCAGCTCTTTTTAAAGGGCTGCACTGCCGGCTCGGGGTCCCGCTCGGCGCCCAGGACTTGTGGCCAAGGTGCTGGCTGAGCCAGCTCAGCAGGATGCATATGGGTGCCATATGGTTAGCACGGGCGAAGCGGTGCCCCCCAAATGCTCATGGGTGTTAAGCGCCCACTGAAGGGCTTTGTGCCGGGGGCCTCGTCCATCTGGGGTGGCCCAGACTTTGGTGCTTTTGCTCTGGCCTCGAGTCTGCCAGAGGTTACAGCTCTTCAGTAACGCAGTAAAGCCGCAAACCCACTTAGTAAATCAGATTAAACCTGTGATTTGTGTCACTCATCTTATGGTCAACTGGGGGTCTCCGAGACCGCCATCTCACCCAGCCCACGGTGCGGAGCAACCAGGGACAGCCTTCTCCCAACCATTAAATAACCGTGCAGATGGGCGTGATGGGAGTCTGGCAGGGAGAGAAGGGGGCAGAGAGGCATTGTAGCTCTGCTCTTGCGCATTTAAATCAGTCTCCTAAAAGTTGCAGCACCCTTTTATGCACCGTAACTTAATTTTCCAGGAGCACGAGGGTGGCGTTTGAAAGTCAGGACCCAAAGCGGAGATGAGAGTGTGGCTGTGTGGGCTCAGGGCTGCTGCTGCGTGGGGCTGGAGCGGGGCGATGCTGGCACCCCATGTCCGGGAGAGGGAGGTGGCTGGTGACGTTTGGCTGTCTCCGAGATGGCTGGTGTTTTGGGGAACAACAGCAGAAAGGGGTTTATTTTCAGTAAACCTTGTAGCAGAGCCTGGACGTGCAAACTCCTGTCCCCGGTGCAGCCGCCCAGGAGCTGTGTGGGCGCTATTTGCTTTTTAATCACCAGGGCACTGTGCCTTGATTCAGCAGTTTTGTCCGTCTAAACCGGTCACTAATTAATGGGAGACCTTGCTGGGGGTTTCCCAGGGGCTTTGACCGAGCCGCCAGCTGTGGCAGTTGCCGGTGGGTACCTGTTGGACAGGGCCACTTCCAGCGCAAGAGGAAAATTATGCTGATCTGTGGGCTGATTGATGGATAAATGACTGATGATTACAGCCTCTTACTACTCCAGACAGCAATCCTATCTTGTCTGCCTTTTGATGAGTAGTTTTTTTAAAGATACTACAGAAAATACAGAAATGTGGAGACGTATCCTTCGCATCTCTCTTCCCCGTGAGCCTGCAGCCAGATGCCCTGTGCTGCTCTGGGGACAGTGCAGCTGTGAGTGCCCTTTGCTTTCTAAAAATACACGCCAGCAGCGTCCGGCTGTGTGATACAGCGTTGGGGCCAGTCAAGATCTGCAGGAGAGGAGGAGCAGGGCGCTCTCTTCCACAAGCACATAGTAATGTTTTCCTTTCCATCTCTCTGTTGCATTAAAACTCCAAATCGCCGGCGTGATTTTAGAAGGGTTAAGGGCGGGGGGGTGAGCAGGGGGAAGCCCTGCGGGGTGCTGGCTGGGTTCCCCTTGCTGGATGCTGGAGCTGGTCACCATGGCAGTGCAAGAGGTCAGGCAGCCCCTCTGTGAGCATCTCTCTTCGGCAGCCCCCCCAAACTGCCCAGCCGAGCTGCGGCACGCAGCTTTGCCACCTCCTGCTATTGCTCCTGGTATTATTTATATTATTTTTGTGATGGGAACCATACCTGTCCTCTTTATGGATTAAGGCACAGCTATTTCCTCTGGACTGTTTGCCCTGCCTGCAAACCTGCCCCCTTTTCAGCCTAGAAATCTGCTGAAACATTGCGCCAAAAAACCTTTGCAATCCGCCAGCCGCCCCCTCGCTCTGCCAGTCACGCAAGCCGGGAGCAGGCAGGAAATTTGATATAACCTCTGGTTGCTGTGGGTTACGCAGCACCTTTTTAAATAGGCATGGAAAAATAAAGGGCTTGGAATGATTTATTTTTTTTCTTTTCCTTTTTTAATAAGAAAGTTGCTATTGTGAAAGTAGTAATTGTTTTGTAGCTGTGAGCATTTGAAAACAAACAGGCCCATATCAGGCAAAACCACCAGTGGCTGGGGTGGATGCTTTCAGTTTTTTTAATAAATAGGGGTCCGGTCGGCATTTCTGAGTGCAGGAGTCCATTTTCTGAAGAGACCAGGAGATTTTGGCTCTCTAGAAGGCCGATGGCGTTGGACATCTTAAAAAGAGATGAAGGATGCTCACCCTTCGAAGGTCCCTTTTGGTGTTGCAGAAGCCTCTGCTTTGGGAAGTTTCAGCCACACTTCATCTCCGTTCCTGGAGTCCACCACCTCGGCGCAATTCAGTCACTGAAGGAGATGCAATGCGTTTTGGCTTTCTTTATTGAGGTCCTTCACGCATTAGTGTTTGCAGCTCCTGCCAGAGGAGCTCAGTGCCTCAGCAGAGGGCCCGGGATGTCCTGAGTCTCTTCTGCAACCCTTTGGCTTGTGATTTTCTTCAGGGATGCTGAGGGGCCTCGAGGAAGGGCTCTGGGAAAGGAGCTGAGGGCGATAGCCCAGCAAATGGGGTATCTGCAAATAGCTATGAAGCTGTGGGGAGGTTGCTTTGTGCTCAGAAGTGTTTACACAGGAGACATATGCTTTGAACCTCCTGCTTTGATTTGCCCAAACCTGTAAAATACGGAGGTGAGACAACCCACCGAGGTGTCCTGGTGCTAAACCTGCCATAAACATGCTTCCCCGAGCTTGACCTTTTTTCCTTGGCTTGGCCCTAAGCCTGCACCTGGGGATACGGGGCTGCATGGGGAGGTCTCACACCCACCAGTCAGCGTGTCTGCACTGGTGGGGTGTCCTTGTATTATTAACAATAATTAATAATAATAGTAAATTAACCTCTGTTAGTTGCTGGAGGAAGCATGGAGGGGAGAGAAGTGGATGGTACCCAGAGCCGTTGCATCTCTGGTGCTGAGCGATGCTTCCCAATTTCTCCTGCGGAACATCTCAAATGAACAGAGGAAAATAAATAGGGAAAATAAATGATTTGAGACAGGGTGGAGAGGGACAGTTGCCCCTACACCCACTTTCTGGAGCCGTCGAGCAGGTCTGGAGAGCCGAGGACATCGCCTTCCTGCAGCCATCCTCCCTCCTGGCTGCTCCCCACAGGCGCTTGCGGCTGGGGAAACACATTCATCAAACCAATTTTATTTATTTGTTTATTATGTTACTTTTTTGCTGAAGTGTGTGTCATAAATAATGATTAAGCAGAAACGAGCGTGGCCGAACTGTTGCCCCGGCTGGGGTCGGGCACTGCTCTTGCTGCCACTGGAGGTGCCCCCAAAGGGTGGGCTGTGCAAGGGGGCATTGGGAGAGCTTGGGGAGAAGGGGGATTTTTACTGTATTTTCAGGGTTTTTTTGTTTTGTTGCTCTCACTGTAGCAGCAAGAGAGAAACTGGAAGGAGTTTGAAAGGCAAAAATCACTAAAAAGGGAGTGTATGGGACTTCTATGGCTTCCCGGGGCTTTATTACTGAGCTGCCACACTGCCAGTGCCGAGCTGCGATCCCAGTAACGTGCAAGGCGAGCTGGTGGCCGAGAGCTGGCTGGAAAAGGGCAGCAGGGGCAGCCCCTTCCCACAGCTCCTGGCTGGTCAGATCCTGCCCTGCGGAGGCTTTCCAGGGCAGCCGAGGCAGGAGCAGAAACCCGGACCCGGTTCCTTCTCTGCTCCAAGAAAAACACAGGCACCTTCTTAGGAACTGGCTCAGCATCGCTCCTCTCCGATGGAAAAACAAAAAGAGCTGGAGGAGGCGAACATGAAAAAGGCAGGGGAGAGCTGGAAGGATTTGGGGACAGCCAGGACTGGTGGGCGACCAGGGAGGGGGCTGAGCCCGGTGCCGGTGGGGCCATCGCTGGGACGGTACCGGCTGGTGGGTCTCCCGGCTGGGCATGTGGGTTGTACCGAAAAACTGCTGCCTAAAGCTCTGTCTCCATCTTTCCCCCTTGCAGATGTTCATTATGGAGAAGGTGGAGGGCACCCAGTGCAGCCTGCACGAGTTCAGCATCACCGGCTCCACCTACACCCCCGAGGGACAGATGTGAGTGCGGGTCCCCCCCTCTTCGCGGGTGACATGGGGTGGCCCTGGGCTGGCAGCACGGTCAGGGGGAGGCGGGAGGGTCGAGTTCATGACCACGGCTGGGGGAGCCCAGGCTCGCCCTGCGAGCTGGGGAGAAAGAGGGGTTTTCCGTGGTGGTTTGCAGCCATGCTGAACCCTGCCTGTGGAGATACCTGCTGGGCACTGGTTTTTGGCTATGCTGGGCTTGTAAGCGTTGGGTGGCTGCCCTTCGCTTTCGGTGGGAGCCAGGGCAATTGTTTCACCGTCCCTCGTCGCTGGGTCCTGCCCGGCGTGGGGGGCAGTGCGCCCCAGCTCTGCCTGCCGCCCTCCCACTGCTCAGCAAAGGGGCTCCTGCACGCTTGGCTCTCCCTTCATTAGCAATCCCGATAAAATGAGCCCGCTTTGAACTGGAGAAGACGGCAAGTGTGGGAATAGCGATGAACGAGGCTTTTCGCAGTACGTGCTCATTCTCCAAATTTCTGAAGCCTGTGCATTTTTGGTATCAGCCAGCAACTGTTGCCCCCACCCCAAGCAGGACCCAGGGCCGGCAGCTTGTCCGGGAGCTGCACCGCCGGCGATGTGTGGAGGGACTTGCAAACGGCTGCAAACCCCAGCAGGAAAGCGCTCCCCGAGCCCCGCATCCTCGGCAGGGATGGCCGAGATGGCTGCTGTGCCCACGGCACGATCCTACTGATGTCAGGACGCGTTTCGGGGGAGACATGGGCTTTGCTGAGCTGCAGCCGAGGGCAGGGAGTGGAAGCCAGGGGCTTTTCCCTGGTGCATTATTACACACACGGGGCTTTCTGTCATTGTGTCTGTGTATTCCCCCTCCTTTGAAAGGAGGTGATGCTCCTTAGTGTGGGAAAAGTCTGGGAAGGAGGAAGATGAGAAGCTCAGCCGGTGGTTGGAACACTGTCTGCGCCCCTTCACTTTGCTGTGTGATCCCGGGCAAGTTCTTCACCACGGTCCCTTCTGCTTGTATCTGGAGCAACTATAATTCATCCCAGCCTTGGACTTAATTTCATGAATATTTATAGAGCCAATTTGATCCTTGGCTAGGAATCTTCATTAAAAAGTGAGCCAGGTCATAAGCTGGTATCAATCAGTGCGTTTCAATTAAATGAGGAGGACTGAGGAGCTGAACTTGTGTCTGCTAACCTCTGAAGCTGCAGTGTCCCCTCTCCGCCGGGGACTGCCTGTGGTGAGGCTCTGCATTGGTCTGCAGCAATTCATGTTGCTTTTGAGTTTTGTTTCAGCCCCGTGCTCGCCTTGCGTGTCGAGGGGCGTGCAAGGGCTCGCTTAGGTGTGACGGAGAGAAACCCCTCCATTCCCCTGGGGCTGGTGGGACTGAAATGCTTGGAGGACTCGGTGGCTTTGCTTTAGTCTGGTCTCGGTGTGGGGAATATTACGTGCTTGGCCTCGGGTTTGCTTGCGTCCCCACACAGCACCCATCCAGCAGCGCCTTTGCTGATGCCTTTCCCGGCACGCAGATCTTGTCCAGCTCTGTGCAGGGATGGCCGACGATGGGGACGTATCCCCCATCCCTTCCCACCAATATCCAGGGGATCACAAACTGCAAAAGGCATCCCCGGTATTTCCACCTTCCCAAACATCAAAACCCGGCCCAGAGTGTCTGCAGGATCCCTCCTCCACCCGCTGCCTTTCCCCTGCCCATGAGCCCGGGGCTGGGCAGCATCCTCTGGGCAGGAGGCAGTGGCTCTACCCTGCCCGCTCGCAGCCCAGCGCAGCTTTGTGTCCCTCAGCAAACAGATTTTTCAGATTTTCTTGGCCGCTCCCTGTTTTCCGCTCCTGAGCTGTAACAAGGGCTCCAAAATGTTCTTTCCATTGGGAACCAGCAGTGGAATAAACTGATCCTAATAAATGCCTGACAAATTATTTTTCCAGCAAGCAGATGACCGGCTGGGTTTATACAGCTCTAACCTGCAGTTACCTCTCCTGGAGCCGGGATAATTTTTTATTTCCCCTGAAAACCACCGCTGCCATTTCTGCCACCGGGCAAGAAGCAGCGTCCGGCTTGACTGGGTTGTTTAGGGCTGTTCCTTTCCAGCGACGTTTGTGCTCCTTTACATAGCAAAGAGCTGCTGTTTAGGAAGCAAAGGCCACAGTTCGCCGCTTGCTTAGAAACAGCCACAGCAATGTAGTTGTTAAATTTGTCTGCCGCTCTTAAATGCTCCCTTGGGTGCCCTTCGGCTCTCCGGAGCGCGAAGCAGCATCACGGGGAGGAGAAGGGACTTGCTGCCGGTCCTACAGCTCCTCTGGATCCCCAGCAACTGGAAACCCTTGGGGGAGTGAATGTTAATTTGAATTTCTTTGCCCCTTTTCTCGTCCATCATCTTTATCATCAGCCTTTTGACAGCCCCTGCTTTCAGGTCCAATGCTCTTTGGAGCTCCTCGGCAGCCCCCTTTATTCTGGGGCACTTCCAGAGTTTATTTGCCTCCTGCGATGATACTTTATTTGCAACTAGTCCTGCCCTATTTGGTAAAGCACAAAATGCAAACTCAAGCGTTTATTGCCAAGCCCGGGGCTTCAACTGGGCTCCTTCTCCCTCTTTTCAGAAAATTTTACAAGGGATATATAGGAGAAGCTAAGTATTATTTGAACTTGTAAGCTGGTGTAAGGCTTTGGGGGTTTGTTTTCTCCCCGCAGTCTGAAGGACAAGCAGCCGGTGCAGTGCGGGCAGTACGACGGGCTGGTGGAGCTGGCCACCATCTGCGCCCTCTGCAACGACTCCTCGCTGGACTACAACGAGGTGCGGGGGGCACCAGGGCCGGGGTGGTGCGGGGGACCGGCGATGCTCTTCCTTGCACTTTGGGCCACTTTGGGGCAAAGCCAGCTGAGGTTTGTCCCTTGGGATCCCCTGCCCTGGCTTCAACTCATCCCAAGGCGATGCTCTGGGAGCCCCGGGGTGGTACAGTGGGCAACAGGATCCTTGGTCGGAGCAACAGGTAGAGGATGTTCTCTAAAGCTTAAGCTCCTTTTTTTTTTTTCTGCCCTCTAGTCCAAAAAAGTCTACGAGAAGGTGGGGGAGGCCACTGAAACAGCCCTGACGTGCCTGGTGGAGAAGATGAACGTCTTCAACACTGACACCAGCAAACTGTCCAAGGTGGAGCGAGCCAACGCCTGCAATTCAGTGAGTGGGGGGGGGAGGCCCCTGTGAGCTCCGGTGCCGGGGGACGGGAGGGAGAGGAGGGCTTTGGGACAACTGTTATTTGAGCAATAACCGCTTGCAATGTTCTAAGGGACCGATCTGCCACAAGGATGCAATTTCCTGGCTCGCAGGGGGCTGAGCTGGTTTTGGAGCAGATAGATAGTGCAATGGTGCGGGGTGGGAGGGCTGATGCCGGGGTCGTGGGGACTAACCTGAGTCCACATGGAGCTTTGGAGCAGGTGATCCCCAAGGCTCAAACTCAGCCCAATCCCTGCTCAGCCGGGAGAGACCCCCTTGGTGATGGCCAGAGCTGTGGCTGCAGATGAGGAGGTTTGGAGTTTTGTAGCTCCGCAGCAAATCTTTAGGTACCCGGTTTGCACTCAGCAGCTGTCCTCCGTAGCGTGAACCAAACCCCGTTCCCCAGAGCCATGCCTGCCTGAACAAGGCTTGCTCTTTGGAAACATCTGGTTTTGATGTGAAAATATCCTGTGCTGGCTATTCCCCTACTCCAGCTCTCCAGTGTCTCCCTGTTTTCTTGGTGAAAATACACTTTTATTTCATGTCTGGATTTACTTGGCTTTGGTATCATGCTGTTAGATCTTATAATGTCTTTGCTTGGTCAAAGGAAGGGCTCTCTGTTCTGGCATTTTTTCCCCAGATAGGTCCGAGCAGGTCATAATAAATCCCGACTCCTTTCTGATAAGGAAGATGGAATTTCCCAGCTGTACATCAGTCCGGCAGCTGCTTCGTTACGCATGTCCATCACTACCCTTCCACTCAGATGCCAGCCTGGGTTCGGTCACTGGTGCTTCTCTCCTTACTCTTGTGTTTGGTCAGGGACAAAAACCCCTTCCTTGGAGTTTCCTGGCAGCGTTTCTTCACTGCTTCTTGATTTTGCTCCCCGTGGCTCCGTGCTTTGAAATCTCCGGTGGGATTTCGGGGTTTCCACAGCGGCTGGCTGCTCCCAGGTGTCCTTGCCGCTGTGCTGAGCGTGCAATGCCCAGCGGGGACAGCACTGCTTTTGTGGGCACAAAACTTCCTGCCGACGTGTAGTCACTGCACTCGTACCTGTGCTGGGTTTGGCCTCCGAGAGCTGCTTGGTGTTTCCCTGGTATGTCCACAGAGAGTGCCCGCGTTTTGCGTGGGCAAATCCCCTTTGTGCATCTCTCACATGTCTCCAGCTCCCGCTCGCAGCTTCGCTGCAGTAGGAGCAGCCTTTTAACTTTGAACTTGCAAGGTTTTACCCCAAAAGGAGTCTTCTTTTCCTTTGTCCCCTTCACTAATTTATTTAGATTTAAGTTGCTGTAAAAGTCCTGTGCAAAAAGCTGCTTGTGTCCCCATCACAAGCAACACCCTCCTGGCAACAAAAAATAATAGTCATTTAAGCAGCTGAGCCATGCAGAACAAGGTTAGCATCAACATCCCCGCTGCCCTCTCCGGAAAGTACTTTGGCTCGGCCCCAGATGCCCTGCTCATTAAATGGCTTTTTTGGGACAAGATGTGTCCTCCCGGGAGCCGGGCTCAGCTGCCGTGATGCTGATGTGGATGCGCTAACAGGGGATTGGTGCGGGGCG